TTAGTTACCGGTACGCATCATCATCATCATCATCATCATCATCATCATCATCATCATCATCATCATCATCATCATCATCATCATCATCATCATCATCATCATCATCATCATCATCATCATCATCATCATCATCATCATCATCATCATCATCATCATCATCATCATCATCATCATCATCATCATCATCATCATCATCATCATCATCATCATCATCATCATCACATCATCATCATCATCATTCATCATCATCATCATCATCATCATCATCATCATCATCATCATCATCATCATCATCATCATCATCATCATCATCATCATCATCATCATCCTCATCATCACATCATCATGATCATCATCATCATCATCATTCATCATCATCATCATCATCCATCATCATCATCATCATCATCATCATCATCATCATCATCATCATCATCATCATCATCATCATCATCATCATCATCATCATCATCATCATCATCATCATCATCATCATCATCATCATCATCATCATCATCATCATCATCATCATCATCATCATCATCATCATCATCATCATCATCATCATCATCATCATCATCATCATCATCATCATCATCATCATCATCATCATCATCATCATCATCATCATCATCATCATCATCATCATCATCATCATCATCATCATCATCATCATCATCATCATCATCATCATCATCATCATCATCATCATCATCATCATCATCATCATCATCATCATCATCATCATCATCATCATCATCATCATCATCATCATCATCATCATCATCATCATCATCATCATCATCATCATCATCATCATCATCATCATCATCATCATCATCATCATCATCATCATCATCATCATCATCATCATCATCATCATCATCATCATCATCATCATCATCATCATCATCATCATCATCATCATCATCATCATCATCATCATCATCATCATCATCATCATCATCATCATCATCATCATCATCATCATCATCATCATCATCATCATCATCATCATCATCATCATCATCATCATCATCATCATCATCATCATCATCATCATCATCATCATCATCATCATCATCATCATCATCATCATCATCATCATCATCATCATCATCATCATCATCATCATCATCATCATCATCATCATCATCATCATCATCATCATCATCATCATCATCATCATCATCATCATCATCATCATCATCATCATCATCATCATCATCATCATCATCATCATCATCATCATCATCATCATCATCATCATCATCATCATCATCATCATCATCATCATCATCATCATCATCATCATCATCATCATCATCATCATCATCATCATCATCATCATCATCAGCATCATCATCATCATCACCATCATCATCATCATCATCATCATCATCATCATCATCATCATCATCACCATAATCATCATCATCATCATCATCATCACCATAATCATCATCATCATCATCATCATCATCATCATCATCATCATCATCATCATCATCATCATCATCATCATCATCATCATCATCATCATCATCATCATCATCATCATCATCATCATCATCATCATCATCATCATCATCATCATCATCATCATCATCATCATCATCATCATCATCATCATCATCATCATCATCATCATCATCATCATCATCATCATCATCATCATCATCATCATCATCATCATCATCATCATCATCATCATCATCATCATCATCATCATCATCATCATCATCATCATCATCATCATCATCATCATCATCATCATCATCATCATCATCATCATCATCCTCATCATCCTCATCATCCTCATCATCATCATCATCATCAACACATCATCATCATCATCATCATCAACACCCGCAGCAGCAGCATCATCAGCATCATTGTCATCATCCTCATCCTCATTGTCATCTTCAGCATCGGCATCCTCATCATCGTAATCATCCTCCTGCTCCTCCTGAGCTTTGTCTTCGTCTTCCTCACTGACAGCATTGCGCTCGCACGCTGTCCAATATTTGATTATTTTGAACTCATTTTTCTGCACTCTTCACACTCGGAACTATTTATTTCAGACCCACATTTCCCTTGGTATCCTCTTCAGGTGTCCACCATTGCTGCCCAATTATGCATCCAAAGAGCTACGGAAGCATTGTACAAAGTTTACACATTTCCGTCACTTATGTTACTGGGCCCAACCCTGATGCTTGGTGTATGGTTAACGCAGTCAAATAACTGTTTATTACATCGAATGGTCCATTTTACTAGGTTAACTAAAACAACTGTACAATTACAAGCGTTGTATGGTGTTTGCGGAGGTTGCTTCTTAGTTCGGAGGATTCGGTAAGTCTGATGATCTGCTTAGATTTGGTATAGAATGGTGTAACTTTGTGATAACAATAGTATATCAGAATAAAGTTGATGGATTTAGGAAATTTTTAAGATTTCGTACAGTTAAAGTGCTGAAAACTCCGGCCGCGTGTACTGAAGCGTGGCACACTATCCAATTGATATGTTACTCGCAAAAGCAAATAAGCTGAAATTCGGTATACTAGTTAGGACGCGCTTTGCTACTAATGCAGTCGGCGAGGTCCTTACATATGGTCCACTACCGAACCAAGACAGTTGCTCATATTTTGTGAAATTACCATTCTTTTAAACCCGACGCCACACGGAAATGCAAGCTGACGACGGTGAGGCACAGCTTGCGTCGCGTGTACCCGCGAATCCACAGCCAACATCTAACATCGTGCGCACCGCCAATATAAGTAGCATAAGCGATATCTTGGATACGATGTGCACTGAACTGGTGTATTTGTGATAATATTGGCTGCCTTATTCAGCATATTGATTAACCAAAATAAACCATAAGTAGGCTTCTAGTGGCTCATTGCTGCCCCACCATTTTCCATCCGTTCTGATAATTCTGTTGGCAGTCCACTGTGAAATGACTGTAATATATTGATTACATCTGCAAGTTCCGCTTCGCTGACTACTCATGCGTCCTCCATGGACAGACACTTTCCATGGAAGTACGCAGCTACATTAACAGGTAAACCTGGAAACCGATGTTCACAACTCCGATGTTGATACTTCTGGAAAGCTATTTATTGCTGTTAGTTTGAACGATGAGTCAAATCAGTCTGTCAGCCACATGATAACCTGAACCTCGTTCTGCTAACTGTTCAGAAAACAACTAACCAATGAGTCAAATGGTAGCGTAAATAGCTACAAACCGAGAAGTTGACAACTCACATGCGCGACGTAGAGCAGCAGAAGCTGGACGAACGGAAATTCCAGATGATGCGCGAAAGGCCTGGTCATTGCGAGTGGACCATACAGAGCAATGTTGAATGCAGTGTTGAAAAGAACTCCAATCCACTCGTCTTTTCGCTGGACTGGTGGCAAAAACCAGTAGGCCAACAGCAGACCTAGTGTTAGGACACAAAGCCCTAACACCGGACCAACGAGCACAGATACATGCTGAGCAGGAAAACAGCTACAAAGAAGAGCACATGGTGTACGGAACGGTATGGTGACAATGAGTAATTTTAGTATCAGTTTGGTCCGGTTGTGAAAGAAGACATGATAAAGGAATATGGACTGGTTACTCAATAATGTTTGTAGCGTTTGTACCTACTTCCTTCCTGCGTAGACGAATTAGAACTGATCACGGCAGTGACTATTGACCTCATCTTACATGAAGCACTCAAGCAGACTTTAGTGCAATTGTTTGCGGAGTTGGTTGCTTTCAACCGACGAGTGATTCAGCCAATCTGCAATACCAAGACAGATGCCGTCAGCTCATTCGCAATACGTCGCGTACCAAGCAGAAGTCATGTATTAAATTGCGCGCCTGATCGTCAACCCTCGGTAGTTCAGTAGTTTAACAACAGAACGCTAATTCGTGGGACCGGGGTTCGATTCCTCGCCGAGGCTGATAATTGCGTGCAGATAACTCGTGACTTCCACTTTCCACAAACATTACGCTACTCACAAAATCCACAAGGAATATGGTTTCGACTCCTATTGACACATTTATACCATTTCTCACTTGCTAACACCCTTACCGCAATCGCTCACATCCTTAACGCAATCACTTACATCCTTAGTGCAGAAGCTATCATTCTTAATGCAGAAGCTATCATTCTTAGTGTCGAAGCTTTTTTCCTTAACGCAAAGGCTATCATCCGGTAATCATCGCACTTGCATCCACGTAGCACTGCGTCGGCAGAGGCTACCGGCGAACAGAATTCGGTGTAGCGTAGTGATTGAAAACAGTTACGCGCAGAATACTCATGTTTTCGGAGCTGGGTAGCAAAACTGTGAGATTTGCGTGAGACTAGCGTGGTCCAACTCAAATGGACGATAATTGATACTTTACTAAACGGAGCTCAGCCGGTACACAGTGAGCCGCGCGCCCTCACTGGACAATGGTGGTGCCTGAGACATCCATCGGAGCGCGCACAGTCCCTGAGGGAAGGGAAACGCGTGAACTCAGAGCACCAGGTATAAGCCTGAAGTGGAGTCAAGCCCCTTTTGTAAGTGATCAAAGGAGATGTCTGAGACTAGGGCGCAATAGCTGCATGCAGGGCAACAGTGAACAACGTTGGCTTGGTACTAAAAAGGTGCTCTGAACAAGAGGCGCAAATACGTTGTCTCATTTTGGTGGGTATTCAGGCTAGTTCGGTCGGATAGTTGAAGACGCAGTAGAAGCTACAGTTTGACCTCGAAGTCAAGTTGTCTGTGACATAAGGTGCGGAACGATCTCCGTCGCAACAGAATGGATACCAATCACTACACGTAAGTTCTTTATTTATGCGATGAAATAGCACTTTTGTGACGGATCCATAGGTCTAAGTTAAACTTGGGGTAGAAGGTAATCATATTCCAAACAATTCGCCCCCATACGAACCACACAAGTCAAATCTGATCGAGGTAGAGGGGACAGCTCCCGGGTGGAATGATATAATCTCCAATGGAGCGATGAAGGAGGAATGTGATAGATGTTTGATTGCAGCCTTGCAACTTCCTTATATTACTTTCCTTCTTGTTCCGCAAGTACACAGACATGTACTATTTTGTTGCGAAGGGATCACACTACAAACAGCTGGTCTCGTGAAATATGGGGGTATAGCGAGCCGGTACACTCTACGGCAGTGACTCCCAAGCTTTGTATCGCCGTGGACCGGTCGGCATTCTCTAATTGTAACCCGGCCCGCTAAAGGTGTTTGTTGAACGTTTACGTTTTAGCTTGTTTTGAGTGAATAATTTTAATGTAATTGTGAGTGAACATGCCTTGAAAATTGTTGTGTCGGAGCCCCAGGACTGCTTCCACCCACTAACGGTAGTGAGAATACCAACGACCGAGCAACAAACAATGTTCACGTAGCAAGCCAAACCGGCCACCAAGCGTCCGTCTGTGCAACTCAATCACAATATTCAAATTAGAGCATATCACTGGCTATGCAGAAAGGCTGGCATTCGATCAGTCAATACTGGACTGTTCAAAAAGCGGGGGATCGATAAGTTTCCTCACAAACGAACGAAATACACCAAATGAAAGCGAATAAGCGTAAGCTTCAGTGTCTATACAAGCTAATCACAAATGTGAGGCAAAAGTGAGCGTATGTGAGGAACCAGAAGAGAGGGCAGGGTGAGCAGGAGGCAAAACGCACAAAACAACGGGGAGCGGTGGAGTATTCTTACCTCCGCTATAACAAAAAGAAAATCCAGTTACGCCAACAAATAGATATAAAGGGATATAATACTTTAGCTCACTAGAACGTTAAATTACATACAACCATGAGCGTGCTCCTCTGCAACCAGACTGCTCCATCTGGGGGAAATAAGAGACAATGACGATTGATGTGTGCTGCCTAGGTCCAGTTAATTTGATTGCGTTGTTGTTTCGACTGCTGACACTGCATAACACCCCGCTTCACACAGTTAGGTTGTCAGAAATGACAATCTGCGCGTAATTCACTATGACTTCAATTGCAGAACACCGGCGAAGTTGTTTGTCACTAACGTACTATCAAATCCACCGTCATTTGCAAACTCAGTAGTGGTACATAATGGGGGATAGATGAGTAATAATGATGCGATAATCTCGAAGATTGTGAGTCAACAGTTTAGAAACTGACCTGCAAATCGTCGGAATTCACAACCTTTAAAAAATCATGCAAATATTTCTATTGTCATAATCATTATCCACCAGATGAAAAAATATCAAATATAGTGTACTGTTGCTTGACAATTGAAATGAAAGGAATTTAGTTTATCCATCACTTCCAGAAGATGTGCAAGCATGCCAGTGTGTCCGCTATGTATTGCGTTGGAACACGAAATATCAACTTCACCCTGTGCGTCTGTGAATGTATACGTTTTCAGAACTTTTGTAGAATCCTGTTCGTGCTGGCAGTCTGATTCATTATCCGTATCTTCAGCTGCTAAAATTGATGTGGTTGGTACGTCCCAGTTTATTTCTGTTGTGTGACTTGTTTGGAAATAAGAAGCAATCAGGTGACTGTCAGCCAGTTTGCATCCAAACAATTCCTCTGAGAGAGTATCCATAGCAATTGCGTTTGTAGTAGGCTCAATTTGCTCATATGTCTCAGGTGAAGTTTGCATTATTCTCTCAGAATCTATTTCTGCAGTACAAGGAAAGCCCGGTTCAAAAAACAGAGATGGTTGAGTTCTGCACCTCCTTCCAGATAGAAGTTATGTAGAACACGAAGACTAATAAATTTACTCGTTACATGAATACAGTTCCGGACATATCTTTGTGGGATTCCATGATCGTTATAAGATGGAGAAGCTGTTTTTCTCCTAAACTTCGCTATAGGGGCGTGAATGACACCCTGGTCGTACGGTTGAAGTAACACAGTGGTGTTGGGTGACAGGAACTGCAATTTGATATTAAGTAGATGGAATTAGGGAGGGCAACGGCTTTGTCGAGAGAAGGTATGATGATGCGTTTTTCTGTATTTTGCTGTTTAATCTTCGGAAATAGCTGCAGTCATCCATGCCTTTTTTATTATCCTGGTAAGCTGCCGGTAATCTTTCATGTTGACATTTCTAAAATTCGAGGGTTGGCTGATTTCCAAATCACTGCAGCCGCTTCTCGCTCTCCCAATATGGTAGTGCACAGCATAACTGTGATATGCGCCTTGCTTCTTTTCCCACCTGCGCATTTCTATCCTTTTACACAAAGTCCTTATCCGATTTTGTTTTGAATAGCAAAGCAGTTTCATGTGAATTAAAAATGTCTTGAGCTGTGTAGCCGGAACCTATTTCGGGCAATTCTTCTGCTTAGTCGGATGCAGCACACCTATCTGAGTCAGCGCTTTCGCCCGATTGCTTGCTAAACACAAGATCGTCTACTGAGGAAAGCCCCTAGCCAACTGTTTGACGATGTCAAGTCTGTGCTTTGTAATTCTTTTGCGAAGTGTAATGCTCGTGCTTGAATCACGTGTCCAGATAATGGTATTTTCCCCTCAGTGCTGACTGGCACTATTTCCAGCAACATGTGTTCATGTATTCGTTACCTATTTTTCTATCATTCTTTCTTTCAGTCTTGGTGTGTGGTTCACAAAATCATGCATAAACGGCTTTCCCCTTTTACTTTACATGCAGTTGCGTCCTACCAACTCTGAAATTTTGCGTCAATGTTAGCGAACTCTTCCTTCCATCGTCGAATCACTGATACCATTTCCTTAAGTGTGAATGCCTTTGACCTTGCTGAAATGGAACTAGCCATTTTGTCCTACGTAAGAACGCTCAAAAAGAACTATAAAAACGAAAACGAATATTCAGTAGGGACGTACGTCAGCAGTACCCGCTCAGTTCCGACAATAAAATGGTTATACAGTAAACAAATACACACAGCAAGCGATAGTCACAGTACTTGCGACTGTATCGCGGTATCACAAATCGCAGAGTGCGCGAAGGGAGTATCACTGCTCTTTCATTTCGTAACATAGATATATCAGATTTGTTCATTGCATAGTCCATAGCAGCATACATGCATTAGTTACATCGGCTGAAAACCCGGGGGGGAGTGATGCGTCACTCGACAATTCTGGGACTGGCTTGCCGAACAACCTACTCGTGGTGCCAGCTGGGTGGTTCGGGATTTTCCCGTTCCAGCAAATGGTTCGGCGGCAGTGTTCCAAGACGTGATGGGTTTTCGCCTGGCAAGTGTTCTCCCTATAAAAAGCCACATATGTCCGTTTAACGACACTGTGACGTGGCGGACGTGACTTGCCACTAAATAAAATCGCTGCCCCTTGCTTCATCCTGGCGAAGCATTGTATTTCAGCAATGTTATACTGTAGTTCTGGGGAGCATTGGACCCCTGTTTGACAAAGGAACAAACGAAAGGCGTATGAACTGGGCAATCAGTCACCGGCTCCCAATGAGCGCGATTCCCTGAATTCGCTCCGCTGCCTTGCGGGCAGGCTGTGCAGCCAAAGGCTCGGGGTGGTGTCCCCTAAG